TTATATATATAAACATATATATATATGTTTATTCTGTTTATAGTTATTTAGACTTTTTATTTCTGCATGGGCTTGATGGAAAGAACAAAACAAAAGTGAAGAAATTGCAAAGTCTAAATTGCAGTGTGCTTTAATTAATTTAGACTGTTCATGGAATGAAGCATGATTTTGTTTTTCTTTGCATCAAGAATTCCTGACCTTGGCTACGACTTCGAAAAGAATGAAGGGAAACCATTCTGCTACTTCAGTTACGGCGTTGCCTGCTCTGAGGTTGAGATAGATTGCCTGACAGGTGACCACAAGGTGAGGGGGTCAGCAGTGAAATAGTCCTCTGTGTGTATGTGAAAGAAACACTCACAGGGAGTTAGAACAAATACTGGGTGTCAGCCTGTTCCTAGCTCTGTCATTGGTCCAATGTGACCTTGAGTAAATTTCTTAACTCCTCTGTTCCACAGTGCAGCAATCCATAAAGTATAATAAAATGATAATTATCTACCCTGCAGGGATATTAGAAGGCTTAATGAATGATTGCAAAAGTTATTGGATTTAGTTAAGTAAGAGATAGCAGCACTGTGTTAGCACAAAGGAACAGAAACATACTGGAATTGAGTTAATTATTAAAAATAACACTGAATATTTTTTTGGGGAAAAAAAGAAATAAGAAAATAAAAATTTGTCAGAGTCTGACCTTGTTGGTTATGCTCAGGCCCGGAGCACTGATGCTAGAATCTTGGAATGAATATAAACTGGGTCCATTGGTTCTCTGGGGAAAACTGCAGTGAGTTCTTTTGACTGACTTTAGGAATGAACTCTGACGGAATGTCAGCATGAAGAGTTGAGCTGAGATAGATTGTTGAATGCTGGCCAGGTGTGGGCAGTGGTTGGATACACTACTCCTCCTCATACAAGACCGTGCTGTGCCAGTTTCAGTGTTCTGTGCTGATCTATTCTTTATTTCTGCCTTTTAGAATATTCGCACAGACATTGTTATGGATGTTGGTACCAGTCTGAACCCAGCCATAGATATAGGACAGGTAAGTGAAATAGTGTTGCTATTTCCACCACATTGAAGTCATCACACTACTCTCAGGCATTTCCAGATGAGCCATTATCCCTCTCCAGGTTGTGCCTTTGCAAACAGAGCATTTTAAACTTGGGTATCCAGTGAGGCATTTTAGGCTAGCTATGAAAACCAGATTGAACTACAGTTAACTGTGCAATAGTCACAGAATTATGTAGGGAATTGGGAGTTTTTTTCCTTGGATATTAAGGCTACAGGATATTCTCCAGTAACCAGCACACACATGCTTTTCAGCATCTGACTTGCCTAGGGAAAAAATCCAGATGATACTGATACAATGGAATAACCTCACCCTACTTCCTACAGTGTGGTGTGTAAGACTAAATCCCACACCTGATTTTTATTCTCCTATCTGTCAATATCAAGTCCCATTTAATTCACTGAAAGTTGTGTGGATAAAGAATTAGGGTGGTAGATTCTATCCTCCAGCTACTGCTGTTGTAGGGATCTCGATAGGAAACTGGACCAGTCACTCAGCTTGGAAGTTCCTTGGGCAGGGCCAAGCTTACTTCCATATTTTGTGCAGTAATAATCACAATGATACCTCTCAGCAAATAAAGGTAATAAACACAAGGTTGTTTGATATACCAAGAGGTGAATCATTAAACTTCTGGACATGCTCATCCAGCCATCTTAGCTCCATTGCTAACTCTATATGTTGATATAGTGTAGCTCCAGTGAAACTGCTGCAGGATTTTGGGGTTTGAAGGAGAGTGCAAATTGCAGAGCTCTGCTATAGTTAAAATGAAACTTATTTGAAAGTGATATTTTTCTGAAAGACCCTTTTTTTTTTTTTGGGAGTGGCCAAGGGGAGAAGGAGCCTTTCTGTCTTTGCAGGCTGTCGTTTTGGGTCTGGGAAGAGATGGGCTAAGTGGGGCCTGTCAAAGAGATCTCAGTTTCCTGTGTCCTTTCATTAGAAAAATTATGCAAAGAATCTTTAGTACTTCTTAGGATGTGGGAGTGTTTTTGCGGTTGTCTGTGCTGGTGACCTAAGAATATGTAATACTTAGGAAAGTATTTATACTGAAATAGAAAGCATAAAATAGTTTATCTTCATACATGTGGTCTTCAGTCCCTTTAGTTGTTTTGTCCTTTGAATTATCAGCAAGTACAACTCATTCAGTGTAAGTCAATATTTTGGCATTGATTTCCCCCCACCCCCTTGCTTCATCAAAAAATTCCTGTCCTCTGTTTACAGCATATCTGTCTGCGTCTATTTGTAAATTGCCTCACCTGCCACATCCATATGGGAATGCAGGAATTGTGCAAAGGTACCAAGCTGTACTCAGCTGGAGGGATGAGGGTTTAGAGTTGAAAAGTGGGAAATTAGCCAGGAGGGGAGGGCTGAAAATTCTTGTGAAAATCATCGGTGTTTGTTCTTGTGCAAGGAAGAACAACAAAAGCAAAAAAGAATGTAACCTTGTTTGGATGTGTTTGTAGATAGAAGGAGCATTTGTCCAAGGCCTTGGGCTCTTCACCATGGAGGAGCTGCGCTATTCTCCTGAAGGGAACTTGTACACCCGAGGGCCTGGGATGTACAAAATCCCAGCCTTTGGAGACATCCCAACAGAATTCTACGTGTCCCTTCTCCGTGACTGTCCGAACAGCAAGGCAGTTTATTCATCCAAGGTATACCTGTGAGATCTGCAGCCCTCTTCCTGCTCTATAATTCTGTGAGGCTGAGTGTGATAGTGATGCATTTGTCTAAATAGCTCATCTCATTATGCTGGCTTTATTCTATGGTCTGGATGTTTTCCCATTTCATACCAGAAATGTGTATACAATCCTGTATAGTTAGGAAGAAATGAAGTAACCTGCACATGGCTGCCTTGACTGTCCATTAGAGAGAACTGAAGTGGCTTTGCTGTGCCAGTTCTGCTGTAACAGAGGCTGCCAACCTCCCCTTGCAAGTCAGCTCCCTGGTTGCCCTTCCCTGGCACCAGAGCCACCACTGCAGATAATGTTTCCAGCAGCATCATTTCCCTGATGTGGTGAACTAAGGTCTTTTGTCTGAGTTTTCATGTTTTGCTTTCTTTACCATTTCACAGTGCCCATGTCACCCTCAAAAGTCCATTATTGATCCACATGTCCTTCAGCTGTTACCACAGTAGTTTGTACCGTTCTCTGCAGTTAGAAGGCTGCACAGAGCAGGCCTGGATGTACAGCATCAGTGAATTTTATGAGCCTCTCCAGGGACAGGACTGTTTCAGGCTGCAGCCTCACTCTTGCTTGTGCTTTGTCTAGGCTGTGGGAGAGCCACCTCTGTTCCTGTCTGCCTCAGTATTTTATGCCATTAAAGACGCCATCTACTCAGCGAGGAAGGACTCTGGCATAACAGAATCATTCAGGCTGGACAGCCCTGCCACCCCAGAGAGGATCCGTAATGCTTGTGTAGACATCTTCACCAAAATGGTAAAAGCTTCTGGTTTTATGGTCTGCTCCCAGCCAGCCTACCCCACACAGAGTGGCCCAGGTCTGGGATTGGGGCAGGATGGGGAGGCTGTAGCCCTGCTTAAGCAGATGGTTTTTATTTCATGGGTGTTACTGTTCATTTAATATGCCCCCAAATGAGAGACAAATCCACAGACCAGCATTGCTAGGGCTCCCATTGTAGGAAAGGCTGCCATACAGTGTCAATGAAGTTGCAGTTCATCCCTCCATCCTCCGAGTGCTGTCTGTAGAACAAAGGCACTGACTCATTGTCCTGATGCTCCTGCCTAGCATCTTTTAGGGGATCACTACCACTAACATATCTTGCAGGTCCATTATGTGATTTAGTGGTGTCTCTCAGGGAGGGAAGGAGAGAAAAGTGTTACAGCAAATGCTCTTTTCTGAATATTATGACCACAGAAGTCTCCTTAGAGGCTGTGTGCTTGATCTGAAAGAGTGCAGGATTTAACCTTGTCCCTGTCTCTTCATGGGCCCCTCCTCTGTTACAGTGTAGTGACAGGGCTTTGTAGCACTGGCTCTCCACATAGAGCCCTGCCAATTCCAGGAACACAGCTGTCTGTCCATGTGGGCATCCTCCAGGCTTTCAGGCAGGTTAACAGCAAAACCTGCACATCTTAGTCCTCCTTGCCTAGCACCTGCATAGCTGGCTTGGGAGAAGGACTCAAAAATGGTTTTGAGAGTTTGCTCAGACTGTTGCCTTCAGCTAGAGCCAGGCACAGCTTCTAACAGAAGAGCCATGAGACAGACAGCTCTGTGTTTTGAAAGAGTGGGGTATGACCTCAGATCTCCAACAGTACAAAATCACCCACCTCAAAGGGATCATGGTGGGGCACACTGAACCCAGGCCAGGACCTACATTTGTTGCTAACAATTTTTTTTTTTTTACTTTTTTTACAGTGCCCCTCTGCTGAGCCAGGGACCTTTAAGCCATGGTCTGTGCGTGTGTAAAAGGAAGTCTGAGGAGCAAACTCTCCTCGTGAAACCGAGCTTACACCAGAGGGTCCATAAGGCAGTAGGACTACAATGGGAAAAAAAATAATCTGTGTTCATGTGGCTTATCCACTGATTCATAGAGCTTTCACATTTCATTGTCCAATCACTGTTTTCTCTAGGAGAGGGAATTGCTGCCAGATTATAGCTGTGATGTAAATTCAAATGAAGAGAAAGGGGAAGGTGATGTTATCCAGGCGTAATTGAAAAATCTTACCAGTTTCATTTAAAATTACTGCAAGGATGGGAGACGTGGTTATTACCAGCCAATGTGAAATGGCAGGGTGGTTCTTTCTTTTCTTTTTCTGCTGTGGGGAAAAGATGGATCACCTTGTGATGCTGTGCCAATAAGGACTTAAATGCACCAAACCCAAAGGAAGAGTCCTCTAGTTGAGACAGAAGAAGGCACGAGAGGCACTGAGGGCTGGACCCTGTTGTGTCCCCTCTGCACACAAAGCCAGATATACACTAGAGGAGGGTGAGGAGTTTGGATGTTAGCTAGTGAAGTTGGTCTTACCTATGGAACAGAAGTGGTTCAGAGGAGAACCCCCAAATGTGACAAATAGCTGATTTATCCCAAGTTAAATGATGATTGTTTTGTCTGCACCAGGGTTTTAATGAATTCTTAGTTCACGTGCTACCTTGTCATCACTGATTAAAGATAAAAGCTAGAAATACCAAGAGGACTTCCAGCAAGATGCTGCTTTGTTTGACACAGCCTATACCTGCCCCACACCTCTACATCTTCCCCACCTTTTAAATAGGAAAGGGCATCAGAGACTTTGGATTAACAGAGAAAGTAATTCACTGTTGTTCCCGAGGCAATTTATAGCAGCCCAGGCAAGGGATGGGAGGAGGATGGACACAGCTGGGGTTTAGTTGGCTCGGGTGCCCTCTAGGGTCAATCCCCTGCTGTCATGCTATGGCCTTGCCTTCTTGTAAAGACAACTCTTAAGTTTTGCTGAATGTAAGAGAATGGGCACGTTTTGCTACAGGGGCTGCTTGTCTGGAAAATGGGCTGACCATGTGATGACCTCCAGGTTGAATGCATTTTTCATGGTTTGGATTTAACACTGGGTATCCCTCTTCACAGGTTTTGTCACTGTCAGATTTAACACTATATCATCATGTTATCTCTAGATGATGTCAGCTTTGTACTGTACCTGCTCATCATGTGCAAACTTATATCTCTTTCTCTGGCCCACAGCTTTACAAATATGTCCTTTTTCAATTTTTGCACTCCTAGGGCCACAAAAGAATATGGTGCAAGAGGATGTAACTCCATTGCCTTATATAAAATTTTGCTCACATACAAACTGCTTAAAATTGGCCTCCATCTTAGGATTTAACAATGAATGCACAGTTTGAAACACTTTTCTGAAGCACTCCAGCGTATATAGCTTGGAAATGTGTAGATTTATTTCTCCGCTTAAACTCTTATGGTTGTACCATCTAGAAGAAGGGCATTTGTATATGTGAGTTGCAGAAAGTATTTTATGCCTGCTGGGCTTGCTATGTAATTGTTTTATTAATTGATATGTGATACTGATGTTTCTTAAGCTCTGAGGTACTGGGCAAGAGGACATTTTTGTTTTCTCCTGAAAGCTGGCAATACGTACAATATGTCTTGGAGAAGAAAATGTGATCATTTGTGTGCAAAAGCAGCCATTGGAGCCTGTGTGTTCATCATCTTGGATGTCCAGGAAGGGATGCAAAACACAAAGTCTGTGAGGTAGATGGTTATTGGCACTGTTTCTGTGGCACCCACCTCATGGGATCTCTGAACATGCTCATTCAGATCAGGCTGAGAAGTACAAAGGGAATGTAATGTGTGCTAATGCAGAACATGAGGAGCTACAGGTGGAGAGTGTCATCTTGAGGAGCTACAGGTGGAGAGTGTCATCTTGAGGAGCTTCTAGCATTGTCTCAGGGGAAAGCTGCCAGCACTCAACAGAAGCCTGGTCCCTATAAGGGTCCTGGGACATGACAGGGTGTCAATAGCAGGATGAGTGAGTGCCCTTTATCCTCTGTAGGTCTGGGAGCACCTTCTTCATCATTTCAGAATGGGTTTGTGGTGTCTCATGTAGCCACAGTGACTGCCTGGCCAGGTGAAATTTTTGGATTTAGATGTATTAAGTCTCTCTTATTTGTTCTGTGCATTAGTTTGAAGTGTATTTGCCAAGTTACATGTACATGCAACGGTCTCCACCATAGTCTGTAGCTCCAGCTGGGTCCAACACCCTCCTTCCAGATCTCAAAATTAGTCAGATTTTTTTTTTTTTTAAATTTTCTTGGGATTATTTTTATCTAAAAGTGAAGAAAAGAGAAACATCTCTTTTTGTATTGTGTTTGGGAAGGAGGAAGAGGGGAAATGACTTTCAAACCTCATTCAAAGGGGGCAAATGCAGCCAAAATTTACCTCCTCTTCCCACTATCTTTCTTTTATTAGTAAACCCACTTGACTGTCTGTAAATTGGGCATTTCTGTGGATGTTTTCTTTCAGTGAAAAAAACCACCCCCCTGCCTCTGCTTTCTGAGGAGTCTGCATGCCAGATACAGGTTGAGGGAACTGCTCTCCACCAGCCCAGGGCTTTGGTGGGCCCCTCTGGGTCAGAACAGGCTAGTTCAATGCAGACCTTAGCCTGTGGAGCCTTTTTTGCTGCAGGATCAGTGGGCCACTGCTTCCCAGGCACCAGTCCTCGCCCTGAGGCCCACCCCAGCTCAGGACCCTCTTAGCAGCTTTCCACAGCCACTAGCTGGGGACAACGGTGTAAAATCAAGGTTGCAATGGAATTACAGAAACTGGTTTTGAGTGTGTGGGAAGAAGGGAAGCTTGGACACCCATCAGAATTTAGGGAGAGAGCGTTGTGATACCTGGCTGGGCTGTGAGTGAGACAATGACCCTGAGGAACATGAAGCTGGGGTTTTCATTTCACCTCTCAGCATCTTAACATTTCATTCGTTGCTTTCCCAAGGCACTAAGTGCCAAGCACCTTAGGGAAGGACTCCGACCCCTGTGCTGTGGAGGGTTGGTGGGAAGGGATGATAATGATCTAGCATAGCCTGATTTAAAAAGTGGCCTGTGCTACACAGCTGTGCGGAGCCGCTCTCCTGCCCTCTGCCGGGTGCTGCAGCAGATGGCCTCGCGCACATCTCACCGCACGGGACTCGGCTGCTGCTCACCAGGGGGAAAGCTACCCACAGAGAGAAACACGTTCCTCTCCTAGCACTTCTCAGTGAAACACAGCGTGGGTGCTTGACTTGAATGGTACCTATCATTGGAAGTTTGCTGCTTCTCTCCTTCCAAAACAGTATCCTCAGAAGAGGAACTATGCCACCTTGCTAGACTGTGAAGTACTACGCACAACAACGGCACTTAAGCCATGGTTGCTGTAGCTGGATAGTTTGTGGGAGGATGAAAGGAGGCCACCCAATCTGTTGTCTTAACACTGTTAATCGCATGTCCCTCGATGAGAGAGGGAGGCCAAGTTTTCGCTGATTGTTTTAGGTCAGTTCTAATCACCACCTTTCACTGTTGTTCTTTAATGAGCATCGTCAAATCAGTGTCACATGAATGTATGCAGAATTCTCTGTGAATGTCATAACACTGCAAAAATAAAGCTTAAAAATAGTCTGGAAATTAGTATGCTGTGATAAAAGTCTGTCATGATTTGAAAGCTGGACATCTTCATCTTTGGTGTTCGGCAAGGATGGACCCTTCCCAGAGGTTGCAAGGCAGTCAGATCAGTGGCCAAGAGTGGGAGGTGTGTGGTTGCTCCAAGATCCAGCAGGTGAACCAGCTGGGGAGCCTGGCGCCTGGGCCCCCACCCTTGCAGCCAAGTCCAAAAGAAAGTAGAGTCAGTCCTTGAACTTCTCTGTCAGGAGGTGCTTACAGCAGCCACATCATGTTTTCCACAGTAGCACAGTGATGCATTCTGATGCTTCCAGCCACCCCCACCAGGCCCACCAGCTGCTGAGACAAGGTGGAAGGCTGTCTGTCTGCCTGGTGTGGCTTATTACCTCCCCCTGACTGCCATATCCTTGTCTCACTAACAGTGAGCAGAGCTGAAGGTTAGGCTTGGCTCATTTGAGTCAGCCCTCCTGTAAAGCGGAGAACTTCACTCGAAACTTGCGAATGGAACAAGCATCACACCGTGCCCCCAGGACCTTCTGGAGCCTGAACATATGAGATTGTAAAACAGGAACAGTTCACACAGAACAAGATAAGACTAAACGATGGACAAGCCTGGCTTTCCCTGAGCATGAAAGGATTGGAGTGTCACCAGTGGTTCCTCAGAAGGGTGTGCCACTCTGTGCTATATCTCACCTACACGTGCAGAGTAGGCAGACTCCAGGTGATGTGCTCCTTTGGGAGTGCTTCCTGTATCTGCATGGGGAGATTTGTCACAGAGAAGCCATTGTCAAACCTCTTGGGCCAAAAGGAAGCCCCGAGTATGAAGTGCAGGCAGAGAACATGTGGATACTGCTGTGGTTTGCAGCAGGTCCAGCCCAGCTTATCCCAAAACACTGCTTGCTGAGAGCTGTTTTTCACTCCATCACAGCTCAGCTGGTGCAGTTTTCTAAGCCCCAGTGCCACGTGTTTCCCCGGTGCCTGCTCTTGCCACATTTAAATGCAATTCAGCCCTGTGAGGAGCCTTGATGCCCTGTCCCTGGCAGTGGTCCCTCTCAGCTCTCTGACATGACTTTTGGAGCTGTGACATGGACAAGCTGTGGTGCAAGGGTCTGTCTGTAACCCAGCCGGTATCTCAAAGCGCTTGCGTTTGGATTGATGTTCTCTGAAACAGCCCTTCTAGCTGGGGTATTTCTACCAGGTCTCTGGGGTGCTGAGGAGGTCTGACAGAAGACTGTTAGAAAATGTGAAAGCGGCGAGGTCCCAGCGGTAGAAATGAGACAGTTGTTTCTTCTGGTGGAAGGACAGCTCTCTGAACATCTGCTCCGATAACCAGCTGTAGGTCCACCGCACTTGGGCGTCGGTGAATTTGGGGAGGAGGCTGTCCACAGGCAGCCCAGCCCGCTGCAGCAGATGGCCCAGCTCCTGCCTGAGGAAGCCAAACATCACCACGTAGTCATACTGGACGAAACAGGGCTGGCAGAGGCTGACAAGAGGTTTCCAAGCCATGCTGGCGTTGTGCTGTCCGCTGTCTAAAACATCCTGAACAAAGCTGCTGAAGGATGGACTGCTGCCCATGCCTCGCATGAACGTGGAGATCAGCCTCTGGAAAGGGTC